ATATATATATATATATATATATATATATATATATATATATATATATTATAAATATATAATATTATATTTATGACTGTCTTTCTGGGTTAAAGCACGCTTTGTGGGGCTGACAGGGGAAATGTAAGTTGCCAATCCATGTTTATGCCTGGTTATGTATCGCCCTCTTGAATGATCACCCTCACTCTTTTGCGCATACAATGCCCAGGTCTGTTACAGTGCAAGGTAGGATGGAGGCTCAGGTCACAAAAAAGGAAAAAGTTAGCTCTTTAATGCAAGGATGGGTAACTGTGGCAATTTTATGAGCCGTGGACTTCAATTCCCATAATTCCTGAGCCAGCGTGGAATTCTCATTCAGGGCTGGCTCAGGAATTCTGGGAGTGGAAGTCCACAGGCCATAAAGTTGCCATAGTTTTCTGCTCTTAGCAGTGTGGCGTTGCCTTGCCCTCCTTCCCGTTGGCCCTTTCAAGCTTGGGTTGTCTCTCGCAAACCACCACACACCCCAAAGTACATCAGGTGTAGGTGTAACGGCTGGTTGCGGCCTTGTCTTTCCAACCATCAACTCTTAGGAACAATACGCATTTCATGCTCCACCAGTGGTGATTTTGCAAGGTCACTCAACTTCCCTCTGGTTTCCAGGTGTCTTTGGCCACTGCTGCATCCAAAAAAAGAGGAAATAGTGGATGGATAGAAGTTTTGGGATAAGTGATCAGAGGTGAAACCAAATTAAGGTGTTGCATGGGTTTGGTTGAAAAAGAGGAGAAACCCAAGTGGTGGTTGATACTGGCTTAATCCAACTGTAGTCCAACATGGAAATTCTGTGTTAGCACTGATTAAACCAAAAAAACAAAATATGGCAGCAGATGAAGGTTTGTTCTGGGTTGGAAATATTGATTCCTCTCTTTTAAAAAAATAATATTTTTTTGGCTAGGGGGTTTGTGTTTGAGTAAGAACAAAGAATTAAAATATAAACTTCTAGATTGTAACTGGAGATAAAAGTTACGTTTGTAGTGCTTTCTTTCCTTTGTTGCTTGTATAGCGTCAGTCCCAACCACCTTTTCACCTCCCTCCATAGTTAACTCTTTCCCGCCTTTTTTGAGGAAAAAAAAAGAGAAAGAAAAAAGAAAAAAAAGTATTCTATGTAGGATTCTTTTTATTTATTTTATTTTTTTGTGCTCTCAGTTAAAATCACTGTAGAAGTGCCCCATAATACATTTTAAATACTGAAATAAGGGTTTGTTTTGCTTTGTTTTTCTGAGTTACAACGGGACAGTTTTTATTTCATTTTCAAACATTTTATCTACCTCACTCTTTTTTTGTGTGTATATATAAAAATATACATCTCACATTTTCTCAGCAGCCGACAATATACTGTTGAATACTGGCGACCTCATTTGTTATACAAACCACATCCTCCAGGTTTTTAGAGAAGGAGGTCACTGCTGAACACACATGCACACCTACACACACACACACACAAATCCCTTGGAGAAGAAAGTTGTTACGGCTGTACACTCACAAATGCTTTTGTCTCTGTGGTATGTTGCGGATTGAAAGCAGTTTTCACTTGGTTTTGAGTAAAAATGAAAAGCTGCTGTCCCTCTAGTTCAGAGGTCTCTAAACTTGGCAACTTTAAGACTTGTGGACTTCAACTCCTAGAATTCTCCAGCCAGTTGGCTGGAGAATTCTAGGAGTTGAAGTCCACAAGTCTTAAAGTTGCCAAGTTTGGGGACCCCTGCTCTAGTTAAAAAGAACGGGGAGGTGAAAATTCCCAGGGGCACCATTTGGTGGAGTTAAAACAGATTATCTGCTGGGATGAAGTAGGGTTTAAAAATGGGGAGCTTTTAACAGGTTGGTTAGGTTCTAGTTACATGTCAAATGTGGACATGGAGAAGGAGGGCTAATCCTTTTGAAGGTCTCCAGGTGCTTCCAAAACCCTGAAAGAGGTGTTGGAACCAAGTGATAGCTACCTAAACGTACAGTAGATCTATATTTCTCTGGAATATCAGCAAAGTGGAGTTCCCCCAAACCAACTTTTAGGAGTGACCTGGTGGGAACATAAAGACACGGTGTGTGTTTGTAGCTGAAAAAAATGTCGACTGTTTGGATTGTTTCCCCTGAACCTTCAAACCAGGGGTCCCCAAACTTGGCAACTATAAGACTTGTGGACTTCAATTCCCTAAATCCTTAAAGTTGCCAAGTTTGGAGATCTTTGCTCCAAACAATGTTTTGCAGTCGTGGAAACCGTCAGGTGACGAGTCCTGGGCTTCACTGATCTGCCAGTAAGATGGCGGTTCTCCTTTCTGGCCACCGTTCATAGCCACAGAGCTTGAAATCCTCTTATCCAGTTTGTGGTCATCCAGCTGGGTTGAATCTGGATTCTCCACCTGAATTTGGGGTGTGCGTTCTTAGCACACCTGGAGACTCCAAGTTGAAGGATGACTTGCTTGCTGCATCCGAATTGTGTCATGCTCAACTAGATGATACAAAACTTAATTGTGTCAATGTCCACTAGTTGGCCTCTAGAGAGATGAAAGTCATCTAAGGCCATTTTTGTTTCTAAAATGGGTTTTGGTAAGGAGCAGATCCTGGCTATCCTTTGCTTGAAGCCCTTCTGTTTTTTCAAGTGATTGTGTTTGTGTATGTGAGTTTAGTGGTGGCCTCTCCTCTCTTGCACATACTAATCTCCTGTTTAGATCTTCAGATCTTTCAACTGGTTTCAGATGATTTTCCCCCCTCTAAACTGTCCATGTTATTACTTTTAGTTGTATTGTAGGTGGCTTAAAATATCAGGAGAGAAAACTAACCTTACAATGCCCATCAGGACATACATTTCATAAGCATTCAGAAATAGGGCAGTTGTGTAATTAAATAAGTAGGCCTATGTCACAGGTGAGCTCACCTCAAATCAAATCACCTCAATTCTACCATAGTGTTCTGCATTCATATTCTTAAATACTCATGTTGGTTTCCACATATATTTTTTTGTTTTGTTATTGCAATCTTTTGGTGTGTTGCCCCGATAATATTATCTATGCCTTTTTTTTCCTTCATACCATCTTTCGGTTGATAGTGAACCCATGTGGTCTATGCATTTCCCATCCCCACCCCACCCCAAAAATGTGTTGGCTTGATATTGGGCACAAGGCTGCAATTTTCTGCAGGGTTTATAAGAGATGGAGAATTTAGTTTAGTTTCTGGATGGGTTTGGATTGAAATGATACAATCTCAGTTGCTGGATGTCATGATCAAAGCGTAGAACTGAATTGGCTTCACCAAGGAGACCGGAAAGTTAGACCACTTGTCCCATTCATGCACGAAAGTCTGAAAAGAGCTTTTCTAAGCCCATCCTTTCTAAATTCTTAATTCAAATTATGTCCCCACTCTATCCCAGATCTCCCAGTACTTGGATGTATCACCATTTCCAGTTTGCAATGAACAAGCAGTGCTTGCTGGTACACCTGTTGCGCAAATCTAGAAGGCTTAGCTTGAATGGCACAGCTGGTGCAGGAAATTGTAGTTCCAACACAACTGAAGGAGGGACTTCCCTGGTTTAAGCCATTGGTTCTCCGCAAACCACTTTCCATAGCAGGACTCAACCTAGGGGCTTGGATGTGTTACTATTCGATCGCACAAGGTGATCTTGAGGCATTACGGTAGAATGTGGTCTTTCCTGCCATATTCTCTACGGCATCCCTATGAAATCAATTCAAGACTGCTTCGGACTTTTCACTTCTCATTAAGGAAGGATCCAGCTCTGCGTGGATTGCCTATTTTTACACCTTTGCATATAATACTCTGGAGATAGGGCAGCAGAGGGTAACCAATGGTTGTCCTGGCTAGGGATTATGGGTGTCTCAAAACCGGAAGATTTTTGGAAGGCTGGATTAGACAGTACTATATCTGCAATTTTACTTCCAGTCCCCTTTGCTTTGGAATTATCAATAGCTGGATAGTTGCCTTCCAGTCATCCTGTAAGGAGGTCAATGAACATGTATCGTGCTTGTTTTTTAGAGCCTTTGCACGGATGCTACCCAATGGTGTTTGTTAAATTGTAATGGTGCTGCATTTTTTTTTTAAAAAAAACCCCACAATTCAGTTTTAATTTTTGAGATGGGTTTTCCTTCAGCGAACGGCCTGAGTCCCTTGGTTACTCTGTGATGTGCAGAACATGGTTTGGGTTCAGAGTGAGGGCTTCTGTGTCAAAATAGAACTGCTACCCGCCGCTGGTTTAATTTTTGATGTCAGTAATGCCACCCGAAGCAGAGCCTTCGAGAAAGCTGGTTCCCACTTTAGCTTCCTCCTCTGCATCTCCACATAACGTGAAGAGTTTAAGTTGGTTAGCATCGACGGGCCAGTTTGATGCTCCAAAGGCAGTTGATCCCAGAACTGGTTGGAAAGTGGATCTGCTGCTTAGATCTCTGGGAAATACGGAGGGTTGTTTAGTACAATCTGCTGGGTATCTGAATGACACTCCTGTTGTTGGTATAATGTTTGATATAGTTATATTTTTAAATGAAATTTCATTCCAGTAGTTGGTGACATTTCATTGTGACTTTTATTTAAGTTCGTCCAAGATGTTTTCCTGTTGTCTATTCAGGTAATTTGTTCATATATCTTCTGGCTGAGGGGTCGGCAATTATTTCAGGCACCATAAACGCCCACTCCTTCCCCATTTTTAAAAAGTTACGTTTGACAACTTTGCCCAAATCCCATACAAGATCATCAGATTTTTGCAAAAAGACAAACCACTTATTATTATTTTTTAAATACATATATTTTTGTTTTAAGTTAAAAGGTGCCATGTTGGTGACCCCCAACTCTGGTCTAATCCTGGCCCCTCCCTAAGTTTCTTTATCAATGGGAAAGGTCTGACCTTTGGCAAATCACGCAAAATTGCTCTCCACGGAGAATGGTTACATTCCTTTCCCATCCCAGGGAGACGAGAGGTGGGAAAATTGGAAAATTGTTCCTTCCCTGTTCCATGGCTAGGATTTTTGGAACAGCTGACTAAGGCTAAGGATTTGATCCATGGCGGTTCATGGTGTTGGATCGACCGCAGTTCAAATCATGAGCATGCTTTTTTCCGGGTGAGCTTTCTTTTCCTGGAGGTGCTGAAGATACAGAATGTGGGCTTCATTCAACAAATTGTGAGTCCTCTTTGAAGGACCGGTGGGTTCCAGGTTGAAACGCTTCCATGTCTTTCTGGTAGGTTTTAAGATCCACAAGGTTCAGTCCAAACACAAGTTATGGGGCAGAAGTGCTGGCCAGCAAAACACAGGTTGACCCAAGTTGAGCGTGCTTACAGTTATGAGAACATTCGTGGCCAGGAATCCTAACTACTTTGGAACTTGCAAGTCTGAAGTCTGGAGTTCTAGATGTTCCATTGATATTAGTTCTGGAGCATTTCTGATGTGGAATCAAATAACACTAAGCAGAACTTTATACAGGCTGCCGCTGCTGCTTCTAATACTTTGACCCTGAGCCAAATCTCCACATGCATCTAGAACAGAGGTCTCCAAACTTGGCAACTTTAAGACTTACGGACCAAGTCAACAAGTCTTAAAGTTGCCAAGCTCGGGGACCCCTGATCTAGAACAACCGATTCTCTACATGCATCTAGAACAAACCAAGTAGGTTTCTCAAAGCATCTTAATGGAAGGTAACTCCCACTGGAGTCTAGGGAAGTAATGCCCTCCATCCATGTATTTTGGAGAATTTGAAAGGGATAGATTATGGCCCTCTGGCCATCCTCATTAACGCAAGTTCCAGACAGCTTTTTTTGCACGCATACATGGGGTTGCGCGCGCGTGTGTGTGTGTGTAAATGTCAGCTTTGAATTCTGTATCCTTCCTATCCACTACCAATCCATTATTAGCATTTTTCATTGGGGCTGTTCAGTCCAGTAGATTACGGGTAGTCAGTTGACAAAAGATCTGGTTTACAGAAACAAATGATATATTTCATTACATTTTGCAAGACGCTAGAGTAGTTTATATAAACATTTGTAGTTTATAAATGCTAACAATGATTTAAGAGCACTTTTCAGTATATGTGGTTTTCCTTCCTCCCCTCTCTTTTTTCGGGATACCGATGTTACTACCTTTACACCAATCCAAGAGAGAGAGACCTGTGGCCATTTCTTAATCACAACTTGTGCATTGCCCTGTGCGCACCCTAAGCCCAGATTGTGTTCTGTATCTTCAGTAATCCAGCCTTCCAGAGAGCTCTGGATAGGTGGGATCATCCATCCATCGTTTCACATTTACCATGTTAGATAACAGGTTGAGGAGAGAGAGAGAGAAAAAAAAAAACCTTACTGGTTAAGAAAACGGATTGAGCCCTGCGGCCTCTTAGTATCCATCTTAAACCTATTTTTCTTGGAATTGCATGAATACCGAAAGCAGAGGAGTGGGCTTCCAAGGGAAATGGGTTTCAGGACTGGAATCCTGGTTGCATAAGTTGCTTTATTGTTACTTAGGCCGAGAGAACCCTGACGGCCTCATCAGCGACCGATGAAAGTGTCACTTCTACGATTTAATTCATTGCACGGAAAGAGAATTTTATGTCCGGCCGTCCTTTCTCCCTTCTGTGAAAAAAGAATAATAGGTGACTTCAGAGAGAGTGATTCGGAGAGATTTATGTACATATTTAACAACTTGGAAGCTTTCTTTTAAAAGACCCATTTTCTTTGAAAGGTCCCTATTTATTGTAAGTATTTAAACGAAAAGTCTGAAGACAATATCTATTTTTTTTTTTAAATCTCAGAAACAAATCTTCCTCTTCGCCTAAATGATTTTGAGTGGTTTTGGTACCTTCTTTCTTTCTTTCTTTTTTTTTTTTTTGAAATTGAATTTTCTGTTTTCTAAACCAGTGAGGTTTGTAAAGAAAGGATTGTCCACGGAGATCTTCTACCTCTGGGACAATAAAATACAATATAAATATAAATAAAAAAAAAACCCACTTAAAAATGACGCCCTTGCCCTCACCCTCCCCTTCCTGGCGCGCGCGCACACACACACACACACACACACACACACACACACACAAACAAACCGACTTGAAAGTGCTAAGGAACTGAATGCATTTACAAATAGATTTTCCAACTTAACCTTGTTTAAAATATAAACTTTTTTTAAAAAAAAATATTAAAAAAACCCGAATAAAATAACATGCCAATTTATTACAGGAAGACTTGCTGTGTATAAATTATTCCTAAAAGAAATTCCTGTGTTTATATTAAAATGAATCAGTAGATGATGGGGGCTGGGGGGGGGGGAAAGATCAATGTTTTTGTATATTCTGTTGTAAGAATTTATTCCTGTTGCGATATACTCTGGATTCTTTACATTATGAAAAGAAAAAGAAAAAAAAAAAGAACCTTTGTCTATTTTGAATGGCTGATGCTCCTTTAGGGTTCTCTTCCTCTGCTTTTTTTTCTAGTAGTTACAGTACTACATGATTAAGTTAAATAAAAATGGATTCTGTATGTATTTACGACTCTTGTGTTTTCTTGCTCTTCACGCAGAGATCAATACGGGTCGCCCTCAACATTTCTGTTGCTGAGGGAAGCATGCATTAAGCGAATTTTGCCCCGTTTTACAGCCTTTCTTGCCACCGTTGTTAAGTGAATCCTTCCAGTTGTTAAGTTAGTTACACTGCTGTTGAGTGAACCTGGACTTTCCCACTGACTTGCTTGTCAGAAGGTAGCAAGTGGGGATCATGTGATACGAGGCAATTGCCAAGCGCCTGAATTTTGATCACATGACCACGGGGATGCTGAAATGTCCATAAGTGGGAAACTTTTTTTTCCAGTGCCGTCGTAACTTCGGTCATTAAATGAACTTTTGTAAGTCGAGGATTACTTGAATAAAAAATTCCATCCAAAAGTTTTCTCACCCGCTGTTGGGCCAATCCCTAGGTCCTCTCTTTGGAATACGCAGTATTTCCATTTATACTCCTGGTTTCCCACAGCTATTTAAAATTTTAGTACCCTAGGAGAGGATGGTTTAAATTAGCATTTCTCAATCTTGGCAACTTTTTTAAGAGATGCGGATTTCAACTCCCAGGATTCCCCAGACAGACAGAATTCTGGGAGTTGAAGTCAATACTTTTTAAAGTTGTCAAGTTTGAGAAATGTCGATTTTTAAATCCAACCCAAAACCACTAATCGCAGCCATTGCAGCCCAAACATGCCATGGTTGCAAAGCAGAATTTTCTTGCATTTCACGGGAGATGTTTAAATCCATACACAATGTATGAACTACCTGGAAAACGGCAACACAATTGTCCACTTTCAGAGTTTGTTTTGAACGAGGATAACACAAAATGACCTCTTTAATTTCCTTAAAGCCTATACACACACACACACACACACACACACACACACACACACACACAGAAGCCTGATGATGGCAGATGAGATTCTGCCGAAACGTTGCTACAACTTTAAAAGTACAACTACAATGATGTGGGAAAATACCTGAACAAAGCTGAATGCCATATATATATATATATGTATGTATGTATGTGTATATGTATGTATATGTATGTATATGTATATATACATACACACACACACAAACATATTATACATATATATCTATATCTATATATTGGTATATTTGGATATAAAGGTAAAAAGCTACCTTTCTGGTTTCATTATATCTACCTGCAACCTTCAGAAGTTGTGGGAACTTCATCACTAGATGCTTTCAAGAAGGGACCAGACTGCCATCTGTCAGAAATAGTGTAGGGTCTCCTGCTTGGGTGAGGGGGGGTTGGACTAGATGACCTACAAGCTCCCTTCCAACTCTGTCATCTGGAATCAGTCACGATTAACCAGTGGAACAGCTTTGCCTCCAGAACTTGTGGGTGCTTCAACACTGGAGGTTTTTAAGAAGAGGCTGGACAATCATTTGTCTCTAATTGTATAGGGTTTCCTGCTTGAGCAGGGGGTTGGACTAGAAGACCTCCAAGGTCCCTTCCAACTCTGGTATTCTACATTTTGTATTATCTCCATTTTGACATTATTTGCTTCCAATATGTTGCATCAGAAGTTGCAAAACTGCCAGCAACTTAAAACAGGCTTGGAAATTGTGTCAAGATTACAGGTAGCCTCGACTTAACAACGGTTCATTTAGTGACTGTTCAAAGTTACAACAGCATTAAAAAAAGTGACTTATGACCACTTTTCACACTTAATGACTGATGCGACATCCCCATGGTCTCACGATCAAAATTCAGATGCTTGGCAACTGGCATATATTTAAGACTTTGTCATGCCCATGTCGGAGTCTGAAGAGGAATACGAGGAGGAAGATGAACAGCTGACAGGGAACAGGAGTGTGGCTCAGTTGGTTGTAGAGGAAACTGGGGAAGGGCAAAGTCCGTCTGGGCAGAGCAGAGGAGAGGTAGAGCAAGGCAGAGGGAGTTCAGAGGAAGACCCAGGCCCACTGCCTCTTCATCCTAGGGCACACAGGGAGAAACAGAAGGGAGCAACGTGGCTTGTGGGGGAGGAAAGGGCCCTGATTCCTTTCATTAGCTGCAGCTGGGAAGGGAGTTTTAAGAGACACGTATGCTGAGTGCGGCAGCTGCCTAAGTTTGTCTTGTGTAGACTTTGCTTATCTGTGTTCATGGCATCTTCCCAATCCTGTTGAGTTATTGTCGTGCCTTCATGTCTGGAATTCTTGTCCTTGCCCCGCTGGAATAATTTCTTCATTTTG